TGTGAAATAGAACCTGTCTACATGGCAGCAAAGCTAATATGTGAAATAGAACCTGTCTGCATGGCAGTTTGGCTCAAGTATGTGAAATAGAGCCTGTCTGCATGACATTCAGGCTAAGTATGTGAAATAGAACCTGTCTGCAAGGCAGTAAGGTTAAGTATGTGAAACAGAGCCTGTCTGCATGGCAGTCAGGCTAAGTATGTGAAATAGAGCCTGTCTGCATGGCAGTCAGAATAGGTATGTGAAATAGAACCTGTCTGCATGGCAGTAAGGCTAAGTATGTGAAATAGAGCCTGTCTGCATGGCAGTCAGGCTAAGTATGTGAAATAGAACCTGTCTGCATGGCAGTAAGGGTCAATTATGTGAAATTGAGCCTGTCTGCATGGCAGTTAATTGGGCTCAAGTATGTGAAATAGAACCTGTCTACATGGCAGCAAAGCTAAGTATGTGAAATAGAGTCTGTCTGCATGGCAGTTTGTCTCAAGTATGTGAAATAAAGCCTGTCTGCATGGCAGTTTGGCTCAAGTATGTGAAATAGAGCCTGTCTGCATGACATTCAGGCTAAGTATGTGAAATTGAGCCTGTCTGCATGGCAGTCAGGATAGGTATGTGAAATAGAACCTGTCTGCACATGGCAGTTTGGCTCAAGTATGTTAAATAGAGCCTGTCTGCATGGCAGTCAGGATAAGTATGTGAAATAGAACCTGTCTACATGGCAGCAAAGCTAAGTATGTGAAATAGAGTCTGACTGCATGGCAGTCAGGCTAAGTATGTGAAATAGAACCTGTCTGCATGGCAGTAAGGCTAAGTATGTGAACTAGAGCCTGTCTGAAAGGCAGTAAGGTTAAGTATGTGAAATAGAGCCTGTCTGCATGGCAGTCAGGATAAGAATGTTAAATAGAGCCTGTCTGCATGGCAGTCAGGATAAGTATGTGAAATAGAACCTGTCTACATGGCAGCAAAGCTAAGTATGTGAAATAGAGTCTGTCTGCATGGCAGTTTGGCTCAGGTATGTGAAATAGAGCCTGTCTGCATGACATTCAGGCTAAGTATGTGAAATAGAACCTGTCTGCATGGCAGTAAGGCTAAGTATGTGAAATAGAGCCTGTCTGCATGGCAGTCAGGATAGGTATGTGAAATAGAACCTGTCTGCACATGGCAGTTTGGCTTAAGTATGTGAAATAGAGCCTGTCTGCATGGCAGTCAGGCTAAGTATGTGAAATAGAACCTGTCTGCATGGCAGTAAGGCTAAGTATGTGAAATAGAGCCTGTCTGAAAGGCAGTAAGTTAAGTATGTGAAATAGAACCTGTCTGCATGACAGTTG